TAAGGCAAAGTTAAGGAGACTGAATAGGGCCAAGCTGCATGAAAAGACGATGAGGCCACTCATGCTAATTCTTTTTACTCTTTTCCCCAAAATAGGGCTGCTTCAGTCTGGTGCACTCGATTCCTTTGAACTCACTTGATCTCTTCGGAGGGGTCGAGAAAATTAATACCTCATCTCGAGGTGACTTCAACGGCAGTAACATCTTGCAGCCTCCAAACAATTTATTCCACGGCTCGGTGATTCAGTCCGGTAACCTTCGCCCTCTACCTCCACCTGTACGTGTACCTGTACTAACTGATATAGGGTCTTCTACTCACTCAGGTGACCAGTATCCCCTAAGTCTCAAGCGTTTCTTACCTCTGGGGCACCGGAACACTCCAGATATTGAGAAAGAACGGGAACTGGCAAAGAAGACTCAGTCTCTCTTGATAGGACCGGAGCTGAGCTTCTCAGTAGAACGGAGCACGATGTCCGGAGCTCAGGAGGACTCAAGTAGGCCCATACCGCTACAAGCCTGCTTTGGGCCCCGACTCTGGCATAGCTGCATAGGAAACGGTAAGATATATTCCATCAACAGGGCAAATTGTGTCAAATTTGGGAAAGTGATAACCATTTCTCCTATTTATGCACATAAAGATAGATACAGAGATCTCAAAACATGCCATTTGTCGACTAAGTAAAACTAATATTGACAAAATATTTCGAGGCCACATCGACAACGAAACCCATACACAAAGTTCATTTGACACCTCCATATTCGTATCAAAATGCGAAATTTGTACACTTACAGAAATATGATAAGCTATGCTAATTTACCAGTCTTAAGTCCTCAATTTATCCTAAACTGCCTGTAATTCTACTCTTTGCGGTAAATAGCAAACACATACAAATAATAAACGCAAAAGACCCAAGACATGAGTGTAAAGCATGCGTACCCAAAATAGAAAGTGGAGAAAAGTGGCGTGTTCGAATATAACCCAAGTTTGCTAAAGCTGAATTAGAGGCCTTCTTGGTTGCTTAATCATAAGTCATGTTTTTATATCTTGTTAATACAGTTTAGATTTTGGTTTGGATAATAATTCCTTATTAGTTTATAACTTTGTAATTCCTATAAAGGAAACATCCATTCAATAGCATGACTGCTTAATACAAGAATTTTTATCAAGTGTTCAAAGAGGAATCACTTTAAAGACGCCTAAATTGTGGCTAAAAAGCCTTACCTTTGTATGAAGTGCAAGAGGCATTCAGACAACATCTTTGCATCCTTTTTATGGCCTGTTTAGAGTGACCTAATTCAAGGCAAATTTTGTATTTCAGAAAAAAAGCTAAGCTCGGAGAACTTCCAGATGCGAAAATCCTTTCTTTCATCGGCCTCGGACGTAAGAAGTACTAACGTGTACCCACGACCTAGGCAACAAGCCTTAACGCAGGTTTCTTTTCTCTTTCAGTCGGTTAACATGCCTGAAGAATCCGTCCAGCTCAAGCTACAAAGCTCACATTCTCATGCTGAACTATGTTCAAGCAGGACTCTAATTGCTGGACATAAGGGGGCACAACTTGAAGGCTCACTGAAGACGGAGGGCCCCCACGTCTTTGTGGGGCATCGAATCAACAAACCAGGAGAGGTGATGGTAAGATGATGCCACTTCCAATTTTACACAGCCTTAAGAACTTAGTCACTCTAGAATAGATAAGGTAATTTAAGGAGTTTTTCACACAATGGCATTTTATGCAGCCTAGGATGACTAATTGTTAAGCTTGCTTCCATTTCGAATGAAAGTCTTTGGTGGAGAGATTCGAAGATTGACCCTACCAGAAGATGTTGGCGGATTCCTCCTTACCAGTTGTTGATTAGCTTTACTGGGGCATTCCTGTTGAAGCTGTTTCCAAGGTAATCTCCTGGAATTACTGTGAAATCGTGCTAAGCTTTGGTGCATCGTATGACGAACATTATCAGAGCATGGCATGATTCTTACAACCATATTCAAGCTATCGAATCAAGAAAACG